ATTTCTTGTTTTATGAGACAAGTCCCTATCTTGCCTAAATTAGTATTAATTGCTTATTCTGTCATTTGCAGCTGAACACATTCCTGTTACACACAGTGTGTGTGTGTATACGCACTTGCACACGCGTGCACGTACACACACACACACACACACACACACACACACACACACACGGTTTGTTTTGTTTTGTTTTCGTCTTAGTTGATCCCCAAACTAGTAAACTTTGAATTTCTATCAGTTTAACCTTTCTTTCAGTTATGAAAACACAATCCTCATCAAGTAAAATGTGTCGTCTTAATTCTAAGATGAATAGTTCGGAAATTGCAATCACGTCTGTACAAGTATGAACATTTCCCTTCAGAGTTAGAAAAGGTGCCTCTATATTTCAATGCAAGGTATTGGAAAGAGTAAAATTAGAAGTTTTGAACAGTGGATTTTCTGTTTCTTCCAATTTTTAACTAATTATGTGGCCTCGGCAAAATCACTCTGTCTTTGAGTTAGTTTCCTTATCCTTGCGTGGGTGTTGTGAGGCAAAATGAGAAAACATACAAAGTGCTTTGTGAATTGTGATGCATTTTAATAAATCTAACAATGAGCACGTACTGGGTACCAGAGGCTGTGCTAAGCACTTTCCAAGGATGGGCTCATGTATTCTTCTCAGGAACCTACTTTTTTTTTAAATTTTTTTTTTCAACGTTTATTTATTTTGGGGACAGAGAGAGACAGAGCATGAACAGGGGAGGGGCAGAGAGAGAGGGAGACACAGAATCGGAAACAGGCTCCAGGCTCCGAGCCATCAGCCCAGAGCCCGACGCCGGGCTCGAACTCACGGACCGCGAGATCGTGACCTGGCTGAAGTCGGACGCTTAACCGACTGCGCCACCCAGGCGCCCCACAGGAACCTACTTTTAATATTGCTGTAGAGTAGGGACTATTGACTTTAAAAGTAAAACAACCAGTTTACTTGGGAATAGCAGAGGAATTGCAATCCAGGACATGTAAACTGTGGCAAAACATAGGCAAGTCTGGAGTTCAAAAGAGAGGAACTTCATAGA